AGTCACTCTTAGTCATTCTTTGCAGTAAGCTTCTTTGATGGCAAAAGTCATTTCATTGGCTCTGATGACATTGAAGAGTCTTCATTCAGAAAACTTGCCTTTGGGGAGTAATTACTGCATTACTACTTAAAATTGATAATTTTCCTCTTGATTCTATATGACTTATTTTTTATTACAGATTTTGCTGTAAGCTTGTGAAATTCAGACATCTTTGAAACTAAACTTTTTAATTACAGTCACGCATCACTTAACAATGGGGATAAATTCTGAGAAATGTGTTGTTAGGTGATTTTGCCACTGTGCAAACATCATAGAGTGTACTTATACAAACCTTGATGGTCTAGCCTGGGCTACATAATATAATCTGTTGCCCTTAGACTAACAAACCTGTATGGTATGTTACTGTACTGAATACCATAGGCATTTGTAACACGATGGTAAATATTTGGATATCTAAACGTAAAAAGGTACTGTAAAAATATTATATAAAAGGAAAAATGGTGTACTTGTATAGAGCACTTACCAAGAATGGAGTTTGCAGGACTGGGAGTTGCTTTGGGCAAGTCGGTGAATGGATGTGAAGGTCTAGAATACTACCATAGGCTTTATAAACACTGTACACTTAGACTGTACTAAATTTATTTAAAAATTAAGCAACTGCACTATGACATTATGACTGCTACAGCATCACTAGTGATGGGAATGTTTCAGCTCCATCATAATCTTATGGGGCCACCATCACATATGCAGTCTGTCATTGGCCACAACATCATAATGCAGTGAATGACTGTCTAAACAATATGTAATAAATTTAGAAAACAGACATAGATGGATAAGCACATAATTCCCCATCTGGAGACACGGGTACACATTAAAGTAAAAATTGGATCCATGGTTATCCATGGTTCTATATCCTACTTGACCATTACAATACCTTGCAGACCATTTCCACACCATTAAAATTCTTCTGTAATATTTTATCATATGAATCTATCATCATTTAACTAAAGCATCTTATGTACATTCCTTGTTGCCTACTGTTTACTATTATAAAAATATTAAACAACTCAAACCTCTTTCTTTTGTTTCCTTAAGATAATCCTGAAAACTTTGTTAATGATCTATTTTTAGAACACAGAAGGAATCTAGAAGTGAATGTAAATTCATCCTTTGGGTCTTTCCTGTGAACTTGCCAAATTTTTTTTTTTTTTTTTTGAGTTGGAGTCTTACTCTGTCGCCCAGACTGGACTTCCCAATTTTTTATCATCAAGTAGCCAGCGTTTTCAGAGACAGCGTTAGCTGATTATTAACCCAATTTCACTCTAAAACATGAAATTTTCAATCACAGCTTTAAGAAAACTCACTAGTGTACATTTCCAAATTGCAGTGCTGAGGAGAAGTTTGTTTACCAGTCACTGAAAACCATTTTGTTTTGTCTGGAGAGCTAAATGTTTGGAGTTTTCACATTTACAATTATGATTAAAGCTGTCAACATCAAAAGAAAAGAAATCCTAAAAGTAGGCCCCAGTGCAAACTAAATTTTACCAAATCATAGAAGAATAGTAATAGTACATCTAGGGAGAGGCAAGCCACCAGGGATTCTCTCTCTCCTCTCTCTCTCTCTCTCTCTCCCTGTTTCTTTCTCTCTCTCTCTCTCTCTCTCTCTCTCTCTCTCTCTCTCACACACACACACACACACGCACACACACACGTCTGAGAAACTCAGACCAAAAGGGTCAAATGCCGTGAAATTCAAATCATGTAATTTTGGTTTTAAGTGGAAATTCAGTCTTGTAGTCGTTTTTTCAGTCATTAGAAAAACAAAGCAATGTTGGCTTGATGTTTGCAGTGAGATCCAAATCAGTCACTCAGTTGATATTAGACCTCGCTCAGGATGGTTTAGTACTACTTCGGGGCTACAAGAATCCTAGCATGTTTTAAATTCTAGTTCAGTCTTAGAATCTCAGAAATTCCTCCAGCTCTGCCTGAAATTGTCTTCATTTCTGTCTATTCCTGGCCCTTCACTGGAGAAGGATGTTTTCATCTAATCCTCCCTACACTGCAGGCTCTAGTCTGTGGGCCATTCAGCACCAACCCTTGGCAGACATTTCTATGCTCAGGGACCTCACAAGCCCTACCTTCTCTCCCCCACCCCCCACCGCCCCCCGCATTTTTTCATCTATTGCATTCATGATTGGCCTGAGGATGTTTGTCAGTCAGTAATCTACCTTTGGGCTAGCTTGGCTTCATCTGGTTTCTGAAGTTTTTCAATCTGGCTCAATTTTGTGTGAGCCAGTAACCTCAGAAGTAGGCACCATTTTCCCCTGAGGCTTATATGTGACACATTAATTCCCTTCAAGAGCCAGGAATAGAAGTGAGCATTGTTCTGTTTCAAAGCCCTACTCATTTCTGGGCAACCTCCATGCAGTTAGACACCTTCACTCGGGGTGAAACAGCAGGTGTTTCCTGAATTCAGTGCCCAGCCAAGCCTTCTAGAGTTCAGCTAGCAGATCTGCTTCCCCACTCGCCTTCTGTGACTCATCACTTAGATAATCGTCAGTTGTTTCGTCTTTGAAAATCCAGTCTTTACAGCATCAATAATGTTTTAAAGACAAGCATCAAGGCAAACTGACAGAATTCCCTCCAAGAGAAAGCAGCCGTATCATTTCAGTCTCAGAAACCCTTTACATATTTATTAATTCATGGACAAAAAGAGAAGTAGGGGGCTCAGTACTGTAGAGTCCATTGATCAGCAAACTTTTCCTTCACTGCTTTGCACTGGTTGAGTCTGGGAAGTGTTGCCATAGAAGCGCCAACTTCTAAACCTTGGTGTCTGGCCACGCCAGAGCTGATTGCTGATGACATCACAGCGAGAAGTGCAGCAAAGTGGCACAGAATCTGCTCCCTTGTCCTTCAAGTAAGCAAGCTATGGGAAATGAGAAGGACGAGAAGAGAAAATGGATGTATCTGCAGCCCCACCGCTTCCAGAAGAGCAGCAAAGACTGCAACATACAGAAAGGGAACTGGTGACACCTGTCTGCATACAAAGGCTGTTATCCCTGTTGATGTGGCATATGAAAGTAGGACCCAGAGAAAAATTAGCAGTTGCTGTTTTTAACTAGAAATGTCTAAGTAATTTATTTTACATTATCATCTGCCAGATCACACATGGCCTATTCTTAAGTGACTATTTTGGAACTGACCTTTCTAGACTCTATAGCATAGTTTTTCATCACCTCTCCTGAATTGTGTGAGTGAACTTTATATTGGTCTCAGAGGGAGAATCTTCTTTCCATTTTTATCTGGATGTTTGAACTCTTTATAAGTGTCTTACAAAGTTGTCATCTGTTAAATTAAGCTAAATTTGGCTTGAGGATGCCTTCATACTCTGTGTCATTATGTAATGAACCGCAACCTAACTTAGTACATAAATAAGCTGACAGCCTAATTTAGGAATATACATTTGTAACACATAGTTGAGTCTCAGCCAATCACAGCAGCCGAGCTTCAGTCAGTCACAGATGGCTAACTGATCAGACCACGATCAAATAAGGCAAACTCTGAGCTGTAACCAGTCAGGCTGTTTCTGTTCCTCACTTCAGTTTCCCATCCCTGACTGCTGCCTGCTCACTGCTGCGGAGCAGAGTTCTCTCAACCCCTTCTGATTCTGAGGGCTGCCCCATTCTCAAACTGTTATTTGCTCAATTAAACTGTTCAATTTAATTTGTCTAAAGTTTATATTTTAGAACCAAACTTCTCAAATATTTTAAAGCCTATTCTAGCATAATTTGCCAAATATAATACAATGAGTTATACTCTACATTAAATCCCATTTATCTGGTGAAGGCACTCCATTATGGAAACTCTATAGTGCCTCGATTTTAATATCTTACTTTGCAAGGATCTTAAGAAACAAAATGTACATAGCATCACAATAGAAAGTTCATTATCGTGCTATAGAATTTAGGGGATTTATAAAAGTTAAAACTGAGCTAAATTAGTTCAAAAGTAGCCATCACAAATATCAGCTTTAGGCTAGGCAAGTTATTTATCCCATGAAGTTCTGTTAAAATGCCTAACCAAAACCAAGATATTGGAAACAGGCTGGTAGCATGGAAAGAGTAAACAGCGCTTTGCAATCAAGTATTTTTAGAACGTTGGTTATTTCTCTTGCAGTTGAAAATTTGGGGAAAACTTACTTTTCTCGGATCCTCAGATTACCCATTTGGAAATTAGGGTTAATAGTGCTTACCTTGTAGGATTTATTAGGACACATGATACTATGTGAGGAGAAGTCAGTTCGGTGAATGGAATAACAGGCACTCAACAAAGAATGTCCCTCTGAGTATAGTCAACACTGTTTAAATGAGCAAGTCTATTCCACATTCAGCACTGGGGTTCAGTGCTGCCTCTTGGGAGGGATGAAATGTATCTAGAATTTCTCTTTCTTTAACATGTTTCTTAGTCAATTCAGTGTATTAACTTGTTTAATAATCATGACATTGAGCACAATCACTTTCATAAAAATTAAAATGCAGCACCTCAACCACTCTACTTAGTCATTTTTTAAAACTTGCTTTGAAGCCGGGCTCGGTGGCTCAGCCTGTAATCCCGCACCTTTGGAAGGCTGAGGTGAGTGAATTGCCTGAGCCCGCGGGTTCGAGACCTGCCTGGGCAACTTGGCCAGACCTCAGCTCTACAATAAATCAAAAAATTATCCGGGTGTGGTAGCGCACGCCTGTAGTTCCAGCTATTTGGAAGGCTGAGACGGAAGGATCACCAGAGCCCAGCAGGTCGAGGCTGCGGTGGCCGGGAGCGGCCACTACACTCCAGTCTGGGTGACAGAGTGAGACTCCAACTCAAAAAAAAAAAAAAAAACTTACTTTGAGGGTTATAGGTGATGTCAGGATCTTCTACACCTTATGTTAAAAAATTGGTGTCAAAAGATCATCTGGAATTGATAACATATTTCCAATGTTTACACTTTTATTTTCAATTAGGCCTCAGAAGTCTCTAGAAACAGAGGAGCCTCTTTACTGGCCAGGCCAGGACACAGCCTAGTAGCTGCTATTCGAAGCCAACATCAACAACATGAGTCATTGCCACTGGGTATGTATCATGCTTCTTTGAATTCCTGTCTATCTAATATTTAGCCTTTAAAAAAAATCAGGAATCCTTTAATATTCAAGATTCTGTGTCTTCTCTCCCCTGTTTTAAGATATAATCTGTTCCTTACCCTGTATCCCCATCCTCCCCTCTACCCTTTCCCCCTTCCCTTCCTCCTCACTTCTTCCCCTCCCTCTCTCCTCTCTCTCCTAAACTCACATATGCCTTCTTCCACTCAGTGACTTGTTAATTCAGTCCAGAAGAGTATAGTTTAAGTGAAGTTATGGAGCTTATTTCTCTAGATAGAGCTTTAAATGAATGGCTCTCTTTCGTATCTATGGAGGACAGTTTGCACAGTCTTCATTCATAACTTCCGCTACCTCTTTTCAAAACTCATGCCATTTGTGTCAAGGGAAATGAGGTGAGAGGGTCTAAATGGATTTGAGTATTTCCATTATCACTACTGGGAAATCAGTACATGGATTTCTTTGAACTCTTAAATAATATTTTACCAGAGCTATGGCAAAATGACCAAGAAAAGTTAAGAAAGAGAGGAGAACTATATTCTTCTCTTTCACCTGGTCACGTAGAGATGCATTAACTCTCAGTAAAGTTCCTGGAATATTAAGGATAATTAACTTAAATCTGGTTCACTTTTAGTTTGATACTTTAAAAACAAAAATGCTATTATGTCACATTAAAAACCCCTCAAGAGCTTACTTTTTTTTTATAAGTATGCTACCTACCCTTCAAACTCCGTTAATCCTGGTATCAAGCAATCATTTTCCAGTCATCAGAGAGATTATCTGTGATCTGCAGACTGAACCACATCTCTGCACTTTTGTCTGTTTCAGCATATAATGACAAGATTGTGGCATTTCTTCGCCAGCCAAACATTTTTGAAATGCTACAAGAGCGTCAGCCAAGCTTGGCAAGAAACCACACACTCAGGTAGGACTGGTCCCTCATCCCTGGAACTCCAGGTCTTTCCACCCATTTTTCCTGGTAGGAAAACACCTTTGTGGAGGAATAGCAGAAGCTTATGATGCATTTTATTCATGCACTTAAGTTATAAATTGAAGTCTCAAGATGAAGGGTTCAGGGGTTTCCAGTGTCCTGGGAAATTATGCAATCAAAGATTATCATGTTATCAGGTTATGTATTATTTATATCATGCTGAAATGATTCCCACTGATTCGGAGAAGAACACAGAAAAAGAACAAATTAAGTTTTATTAAAAATTATTTGCATAAGGCAGCATATAATTGCTTTTAATTTTGAAATGTAATCATTTCATGGTAAACCAAATATTGAGTGACCATATTTAAAAACAAACAAAAAGTATCATATGTGTTCTAACTACTTAAATCCTGTTGTTCATTAAGGTCATTTTTGTGCAAGTGCCCCTGAAACTCTAAATCACTTCATTTGGAAGAGGTAGCTGGCTAAAATGATAAAAAGAAAATCTATATCCCAAACTAAAATCCTGCTTTCTCACCAAAATAGTCAAACATCTCTTCACTTCAGTTTACTAGCCAGCGTTTCAAAGGCGGGAGATGCACGGGGGTGTTACAAGTGTGCTCCTTTAGCCTTGTTCAGCACTTAGGAATTGTTGATGGAGCCATGTTATTCAATCCTCTGCCCTCAGTCCCCTCATCACTGAACTGAGTGTCACACTGAGGCCACAGCTGAGGTGCTTAAATGAAGATGTGTGTAAAGGATCAGGCAAGGCCATGGACATGAGGTCCATAACTGCCTTTAATTATTCTCTTCCCATGTGGTGCAGTCTTGTGAATCTGGCTGACACCTCTAGTACTCTACTCTGACTTCCTCAGTGAATCACTAACACCTTCAACAAGCTCCTTTGTCCTTCAAATCCTTGCCACCCATGCCAGGATGAATCATTCTCTATTCTTTCCCTTCCACCACCCCCTCATTGACACCTCTTTTCCCTCAATTTTCACTCTGCAAATTAGAGCCACCATCCTCCCAGCTGCTCCTTATCTCAGCTGCTCCCTCTTCTTCCACCTCTACATCTAAAACATTCACCTCCTCATATTCTCTCTTCTAGCCTTCTTTTCTCTTCTCCCTGCCATGGTCCAAGTTTGAGTATTCATCATTTCTCTCCTGAACTTTACAGGAGTCTCTCCTAAGATATTCCCTATCACCCTGTCATAACCAGATTTACCTTCGTATAGCACAGATGAAATCATGTCCTACCAGCCCTTCAAAAAAGTTTCCACAGCTTCTGTTGTATAGGAAATAAAGTCAAGAATCCTAAGGACATTGTCCATGGTGTCCAAAGTCTGGCCCTAACCTAACTCTACATCCTGCACTGTTTTTCCTTTTAGAATCTTTCTCCTCCACCATACAGGCTGTGTACTCTCCTGACCTTGCCTGTCCCGGGATGGCTTCTCTGCTAAGGGCATCTCATCTCATTTTTTTTCTTTTTTTTTTAAGTATAAAGATGTGGGGTACAATTCAGGGTTAGGTATACAAACGTTGATTATGCAAGTACCCTTGTTGATGAGGTATGCCCCTCCTTCCTCTAGCCGTTTCCCTCAACTGCCAATCCCCTCCCCCCGACAGTTTCCCACTACTGCCAGTTCCTTTCTTATAGTATTATAATTGTTCAAGGTCCACTTATGAGTGAGAACATATGATATTCTGTTCTTTGTTTCTGTGATAGATCACTGAGTATGATCAACTCTAAATCCATCCAAGTTGCTACGAAGTCCATATGTTTGTCCTTCTTTATGGCTGCATAATATTGTGTCTCATCCCATTTTAAAGGCTCAGATCAAATGTAAAAATCCAGTGCTCTAGGTAAACTTAAGAAGAAAACTATTAAACTTTTTGCGCCTCGAAGACACTTTTCGATTTCTCGTATTCTGTCATTTACTTGTGTCCTCCTACAACACTAGAAGCTCTTTAGAGCAGGGCCTTTCTCTTTATGCCCACTCTGCCTCTCAGAACCTGGTCCTATACTTTGAAGATAGGAAACATTAGTTACTATTAGAATGGATGAAAAATCTTTAGTATGAACAAATAAACTCTAGCAGGAGTAATGATCACTTTCACTTATGCTCAACTCTTAAGAGTTATCTGCTCCATGGTTTCTTTCACCCATGCCAGCTCTGGTGTGTCACCATTTCTTTTCTCCCTTTTTTCTCTAATAAACTTTGAAAACTTAAAAAAAAAAAAAAAAAAAAGGAATGATCTGCTCAAGTTTCATTACTGTGCCCACTCAGTCGTATGAACCATTTATTCACGGGCTGCTCTTTGACTCACCATGCATAACAATTTAAAATAATTTTCAAGAGTTTTCCAGGAGAGTCATATTACTTGAAAAGTTTCTGACGCACAGCTGCTCTTGAATATTCTTTATGTTACTGATTCCACCACTGAGTGATGAGTTCACTGCTTCTTTTTTGGAGAAATTTTGAATTCACCAAAGGCGCCAGAGTTCCATTTTAATCATTTGAAAAGTTTTTAAAAAGCAATCCTCTTTGTAAAGGGTGGATATATTTCCAAAGGGAAGTAAGTTGTTTTTATCCCTATTGTTTTCATCCCACATTATAGCCATATCAGAGAAACCTTAAAGGTTTTTTTGCAGTTTGGGATTGTACAATTGTTATTTTTTCGAACGGGGGGGGAGGAAAATAAAATCAGGGCGTGTTGGAATTGGAAGAATCTTGGAAATTATCTGGTATAGAAACTGATAACCTTCTTTAAGGCTCTTTAAGCTTATTAGATTTTCTGAGAATCTGATGAAAACTCTGATGTGAGACTCTTCTCCACTATGTCTTGGCATATGATTTCAAGCAGTTAATGAACCTTAAAGAACCCAAATATCTCATCAAATACAGAAGGCCCACAATGACTATCAGAAAGTGACTGTGAGGCCATAGAATGTAAAAGGCAGAAAGAAAAGAGCGAGAATTTGCTCTTCAAGAGGTCAGTCTTAAGAGAACCAGGAAACCAGGCACTGCTTTCCATGATTCTCTACTTGCCCTGGAGTGTGATCCCTTTTGTTTTTGAGTTGTAGTCTCACTCTGTCACCCAGGCTGGAGTGCAGTGGCATACTCACAGCCACCGCAGCCTTAATCTGCTGAGCTCAGGTGATCCTTCTGCCTCAGCCTTCCAAATAACTGGAACTACAGGCACGTGCCACCATCCCTGGCTAGTTTTTTGATTTATTGTAGAGATGAGGTCTCACCAAGTTGCCCAGGCTGCTCTCAAACCCATGGTCTCAGTCAACCCTCTCACTTCGGCCTCCAAAAGTGCTGGGATTATAGACATGAGCCAGCATGCCCAGCCTGTTTGTTTTTTAAGTCAGCGGTATAGCTACATGACATAAGTGCCATGAAGGACATGATCAGAATTCAGCAGTAGTGGATAATGTGCTGGTACAGAGGAAGACGACTTACATCCTAAACAGAATATAGGGAAGGCTTTCCAAGTAGGTGACACTGAAACTGAAACTTTAAGGATAAGGGATTTTTTCTAAGATGCAAGGTAGTAATTAGACGGTGTGCAAAGACCCCAAGGCAGGAAAAGCTTGATGTAGTTGAAGAATGAAAGAAAATCAACCTGACTCAGGGATAGATTGGGAGAGGTAGGAGAAAGAATGGTGAAGTTGGAGAGGGAGGAGTTCTATCGGCAATGGGAAGGAGTTGGGTCTTATTTGAAGTGCGATTTTATTTGAGAAGCAACTAAAGAATTTTCAGCAGGAAAGATATGATTGCACTCATGTTTTTGATGACCACATGGGCTACTCTGTAGAGAGTAGATGTCTCAGGGCGGGGCATAATACAGAAGGGAGCTATGTAGAGAACTATTGTATTTATCTGTGTGAGAGATAATGGTCAGGTGGATGATGGTAAAATATGGATAGAGAGGATAGAGTAACTTGGGGTGATATAGTGGCTGCAAAAACACCATGAGTTGATGACCACTTGAACATGGTGGGTGAGGGTAAAGAACAATTTAGAATGATAGCCAGGTATGGGGCTGGCGCAGGTGGGTGGATAACGTTATCATTCACTGAGAAGGGGAGGCAAGGAGGAAGAGCTGGCTTAGGTAGAGGAAGAGTGTCCAGAAGTTCATTTTGGATCGTAAATTTTGAAGTCTTTGAGGCCACAAGTGGGAATGCCAGTATATCAGGGAAGCAGGTGGCTCTAGTGTCCTGAGCTCCAAGGAGAGTTTGTACTGGAGTTTTTCTGATGACCAACGGACAGACAGGTGATATCCTCACACTCAGATGTCTTCACCTGTTCTCATTGCCCTTGGGATGGAGTTTCAGGGGCAGCTGGAAATCCCTCACACTGGTTCTGCATGAGATAGTCATGCCACAGGGTATAATGTCCGAAGGAGAGCCACTAAAATGCTTGGAAAATTGTGTTTAGCATCTGACATATGAATGCGGTCCTTATGATGGTATGCATAGAACCACCACACTGGGCGCTGCTTTCTGAGATTGGGACAGCACTTTGCTGCCCTGGTGGAGTTGGACCTTTCTTAGTTTCTTTTCCCCCAGGGACTTTGGGAATAAAAGTGATCCCTAGAATGTGTTATACCTTTCCCTGCCAGGCAGGAAGGCCAGGGACTTAACCAGATGTGAATCCCTTGGGACAGCAGAATAATCTGCCCCAGGGGACATTATCATTGGCACAGCATATAAACGTGAGAGTCATTTATGAGGCTGAAGTCAGTAGATTAGAGGAACAGGTTCAAGAGCATCTTCCAAACTATGAGGTAGTGTCAGGATTTGGAGGAGAAAGCCCAGGAACATAGGCTCAAGGATATGGGCATAGGAAGAAGCAGGTGGGGGAGACATGGCACATGCTCTCTTGGCTGGGCTTCCCACCCGCTCCTTGCAAAATAATTTGTGGACAGGACTGTTCCCTTTTTCAAACCCCAGAGAAGCCATTATGAATACCCTCTCCAGATTTTTGGTGATGGTATTTACTGCACTGGTACTTTATCTATACTGAGAGGTTGAATCACAATGCATTTCTGCTTAATCCCATTGTATATATCTTTGTAGAGGATAAAATGTTTCCCTCACCCTAAAAAAAAAAATCTCATGCCTGTTATCCCTGTGCTTTGAGAGACCAAGGCGGGAAGATTGCTTGAGGCCAGAAGTTTGAGACCAGCCTGGGCAACATATCGAGATCTCATTTCTAAAAATAATAATAATTATGATCTGGGCACATAGCTCATGCCTGTAGTTCTAGCTACTCAAGAGGCTGAAGCAGGAGGATCCCTTGAGCCCAGGAGTTCGAGGCTACAATAAAAGCTATGATCATGCCACTGCACTCTAGCCTGAGTAATAAAGTAAGACCCTGTTTAAAAAAAAATTATGTGTGTGGTTTTTTTAATTTAAATATGTGGGGTACAATTCAAGATTAGGTATACAAGTGGTCATTGTACAGGTAAAGTTTAGGCCTCTCTTTGGTCCCCACTTCGCCTGGTTTGAGATCAGTTAAAAATTGTTTTTAATTAAAAAATAAAATTAGGCATGGTGGTTCACACCTCTAATCCCAATATTTTGAGAGGCCAAGGCAGAAGGACTATTAATACTTGAGAGACTGAGGCAAAAGTATTTCCTGAGCCCATGAGGTCGAGGCTACAGTGAGCCATGATTGTGCCACTGCACTCCGTCCAGCCTAGGCAACAGAGTGAGACCCCAACTCAAAAATAATAATAAAAATAAAACAAAATTATATTTAAAATCTCCACACCAAAAGGTCGAGTTGATTAATCTTTTGCCTAAAAATATTTAAGTTCTGATGAAGATTTAGATTCACATTAACATAATCAGAGAGAGAGAAAAATTGCATCTACAGTATTTTTGAAAATTGATTTTTAAAAAATCATTCCTATGTTACCATTAGGGTAAATTGAGTGAAGAGTATATAGGATCTCTCTGTATTATTTCTTACAACTGCATGCACATCTAAAATTATCTCAAAATAGAAATTTATGTTATACATAAAAAGCTAAGTTTTAAAAAAATCAATCCTTCGGTCTTCCCAGATTTCTGCTGCATCTCTTCAAGAAAGGCAAAAAATTTAATTTTTTTGAAGCATGCATACGATGGAAAGATTCTTGGCTATGGTGTTTGTAGCATTTGAATAATGTCAGGGAACCAAATTGCAAAGTTAACTTGATCAAAATAAATGCTACTCTTCCACAGACTTACTTGAAATAATTTGCCAGGTTGGAGTAGGAGGTTGTATAAAAGGGTCAGACTAGGCAAAGTATAGTTTTAATTGAGACAGAGTTGATGCCTGTGCTTTGGCTGACCTGGTAGTCTTTTGCCAGTTCTGCAGGCCTGGCCCCCTCTGTGCCCAGTGGGGCATTATGCTTTCCATCAAGGCACAAGATTCCTCAAGAGACTCTTTCCTCTCATGGCTTCCAGGACACCATGAGCCCAGACTGTCTTTCAGTGGCTCTCTCTTACCCAGCTCCACTCCCAACTGTTGTAGCTTCCTGAGACTAATTTGGCTATGTGCTTCTGCTTCTGCTACTGTGCAACCCTGAGGAAAAACCATCCCTTAAAGAGCATTCTGCAAGCCTGCAATACGAGCTTAGAATACTGTGAAATGCACTGAACATTAGGACATTGCTATTCAGTCGTATTGGAAGACAAATAAAGGAGATCAGAAAAAGACTTGTTTCTTAGCCTTGTGTGGATGTGTAATTTTCATTTCCTTCCCCACATGCTTCTAGGGAGAAAATTCATTACATTCGGACTGAGGGGAATCATGGGCTTGAAAAGTTGTCCTGTGATGCGGATCTGGTCATTTTGCTGAGGTAAGGGGGTAAACAGTTCTAGAAAAGCTTCCCTAGGCAGTTCTCTTCCGCTACAGCCACTCAGAAAGGGGCCTGGGCTGAAACACGCACCTCTTGTTCTAGAAGATTCTATGACTGCAACTGAAGTGGGGCCCCACCCTTGTACCTGCTGTCCATCACAGTCTTTAGATTTACAACGGAAGTAGCAAGAGCTGCATAAAGTATTTGATGGAGACTTTGTTGTAGCACTTTAAAAAAAACACTGAGAAGATGGGCAAGCAGGTTGTGCTTATCTTTTTGTATGACATTTAAATCTAATAAATCACTTTTGTTGCTTTGTGAGAACTGTAACAGCTATTACTCCAGTTCGTGAATGCTCTCTCAGGGACAGAGAACTAATCTATTTATTTATTTTTTGGAATTTTCAGTCTCTTTGAAGAAGAGATTATGTCCTACGTCCCCCTGCAGGCTGCCTTCCACCCTGGGTACAGCTTCTCTCCCCGGTGTTCACCCTGCTCCTCACCTCAGAACTCCCCAGGTAACTTGGGAATCCGGCCTCAAAGCTCCTAGGAGTGTCTTTGTGTGTGTCAGTTGTATGTGTGTTCTCTCTCTCCCTGTGTCCCTCCCAATTTCCTGATTGAAAATACCTTCTCAATATCAGCTGTTGACAAACTGCCTGGTTTTGTAACACTCGAAGCTAGAATGAGGTTTACATTTTTAAATGGTTGGAAAAAAATGCTTTAAACACAGTGCTTCAGGCTGAGGTGGAAGGATCACCTGAGCCCAGGAGGTCGAGGCTACAGTGGCCGTGAGCATACCACTGCAGTCCAGCCTGGGTGACAGAGTGAGACTCTGACTCAAACACACACACACACACACACACACACACACACACACACACACACACACACACAGTCTCATGACACATGAAAACTATATGAAACTCAAATTTCATCATCCATAAATCAAGTATTATTGGAATTCAGCCACACCTGTTCACTTCGTTATTTTCCACAGCAGCTTTCACATTACAGCAGCAGAGGTGAGGAATAGCAACAGAAACCATGTGGCCTGCGAAGCCTGAAATATTTACTCTCTGAGGCTTTACAGAAAACGGTTGCTGCCCCTGCTCTAAATTGCTGTTACATTCCCAAGGCACTTTCCAAGCATTTCAAAGGGAAGAACCCTTTCTTAAATGTTTTACCTAATGACTCAGAATTCTACCACATACCAATTTTGGTAATGTGGTTACTAGGGATCATTATTAAGTCTCCACAAAGATTCCAAAGAATTTTCTTAAATGACATGATATTGTTTTCTGAGTTCTCCCTCATTTTTCTTCATGTGTGAAAATGAACTTACAATACAAAATTTCTTTGTAGATATTTTCCATTCCAGGTGAGGGAATATAGTCGAGCTGGTTAGTGAGAAAAGATATTTTCTGGATTCATCAAGATAAAGAGCTTAGGTCAAATCCATGCCTCCAAACTGGATCCAGATATTGGAGAATTACCCCCTTTGTATTTGACTTGCATTCTCACATTGGTGTAGGTTTCTGTGGTAAACTCAAATTTCTTTTTGTAACTTTAAAAGTAAGAGATTTGGCCAGAAAATTTTTTTTTTAATTAAAAATTTTAAAAAATTAAAAAATAATTTAAAAAAAGAGATGTGGCCAGGCTCGGTGGCTCAGCCTATAATCCTGCACTTTGGGAGGCCAAGGTGAGTGAATTGCCTGACCCCGCAGGTTCGAGACCCACCCGAGCAACTTGGTGAGATCTCATCTCTACAATAAATCAAAAATTAGTTGGGCCTGGTAGCGCACACCTGTAGTTCCAGCTACCTGGAAGGCTGAGGTGGAAGGATCACCGGAGCCAGCAGGCCAAGGCTGCAGTGGCCGGGAGCGTGCCACTGCTCTCCAGTCTAGGTGACAGAGTGAGACTCCAACTCAAAAAAAAAAAAAAAAGTAAGAGATGTTAGTTTGAAACATCCAGGAACTTTTCTATCTCACAACTTTTGGAGTCGGGGTCCAAGCTTGGCTTTTGAAGCTAGTGAGGACATTCAGAAAAGAAATAGAAGTTAGCTATATACTTTGTCTCTCAGAAGGGCTATCTCACTCAGAGTATCATTCAATACTGCCAGAGGTCTTCAAAACTAGAACGTATTTTAGTTTGGTTTCTCCATGTTGTATCATTCAGAACTACCTGTTAAGGGTAGTTTTGCTAGTTGTTAAAATCTGTTTCTAAGATAGTTGTTAGGGCACACACCCAACGGGGCCTCCTGAATGTTTTGTCAGGCCCACTGGAGATGTGAGTGTCTAGTGTGTGATCTGATGTCACGTGAAAGATGCAAAGAATTGCACAGAAGTTATATTAGAAAAAATAACTTATTTAAAAGTAAATTAGAGAGAGAGAGAAAAAGAAGAGTCACCTCCCCAAGCTAGGAGAGGGGGCCAAAGTCAGGAAACAGCAACAGTCATAACTCAAAGAGCACATGGCCACACCAGAGTCTAGTAAGGCAATGGTGATGGCAGTGGCCATGGCAATGGCAAAATGACTGTTCTTGTTGAGTCCTTTCAAACATTTCCCTTGGATGGGGGGAAGGTCATCAAGGTGACTGGGCGGTGATCTGCTCCATGTCATCACGAAGGAGCAGGTAAGTGCAGGTACTGGCATCAGGTGATGGACAGCAGGCAGATGGGTGGGTTACTCACATGATTGCTGCCATGGTGATGGGGTCTGTCTGTGTCATGGAGGTCATGAAGAGCTAATTAGATTAACTTGGGGATTTGGGCTGGGAGGGGATTTTCCTGCAAGAAACAAAACTCCTTGACCAAAAGGTGGTCATATTATCATTTATATGGTTTCAGCCAGCCAAGGGGTGATCTTTGATCTTCCACCTTAACAAGGAACCTGAAAGTTTCCTAGAGATTTTATGCTAAACCATGGATTGAAAGGTTGGGCTGTTGGGCTGTCCTGGTCTTGCATCTCTTGCATCTGATGGAGATTTGCCGAGGGAATGGGGTAGGCTGCCAATTCACCTGCAGTGAAATGTCTGAACGCTTCCTAAGACCTGCCTATTGGAAATGTATCTATGTCTAACCTGTGCTAGAGTCAAAGAGTGTCAGGGATAAAGTCTAAGCAAAAATGGCCAGGCTGTGGCAAAAAAGATGATGTCAAACCAAGTTTACTCTAGGTTTCTATAGGTATCTCCTTTCAGTGGTATTTCCTTGCTGTCACTTCCTCCAAACAAGTGTACCAATGCCTTTGTTAAGGAAATGCTTTGTTAAGGGTTAGGGTTAGATTAAGGTTAGGGTTAGGGTTAGGGTTAGGGTTAGGGATAGGGTTAGGGTTAGGGTTAGGGTAGGGTTAGGGTTAGGGTTAGAGTTAGGGTTTGGGGTTAAGGTTAGGGTTATGGTTATGGTTTAATTGCTATCTCTGACTTACATAAAATTAAGATACCATTGCCTAAAAAAACAAAAAAAGACCAGGAATGTTATTAGAAGCCAAATTCATTGTTATTAGAAGCTATATATAATCAAACATTTTTAGTGCTCCCATAGTGACTTGCTCTTTCATTGCAATGTCTTTCATCTCAAGGAATTGCAGGTCTGCTTGATTATTTGCCATTTTTTTTAGTTTTTCCGTATCTGATAATTTTTCTTTCCTTTTTTCCATAACCTTTGTTATTAGAGCATGATTTTAACATCATTATTTGGGAGAGAGATTTTTTCTGCCAGTTGTAAAATAAGAAAGAGGGAACAGCTATTTGCTAGATAAGAATTATTTGGGTAACTTTTCTAAAAGGAATCAGGTTTCCTTATAGAGACAATGCTGATGTCATGAATCTAAGTAATCATCCAATTCATTTCATCAAAATGTTTGGCACTTTATTCTTCTACTTTGACCACATGTTCCTAGAATATGTAATCCAGTTACTATTATTTTGAATTTTACTATACTTGTTTTCCTCAACCTTTGTAAAATCTTCCTGGGTGCTACACAATTAGTGACTCGTAGATATTTATTCCATAGTACTTTGTATAGCATACATTAAGGGGAATGGGAATAGCAGGGATAACGGGAATAGAGGTAGTACCAGCAGTGGTAAAAGTCATAGTATTATAAATATACTGTAATCTGCTGAACAGAAACATATGCTTGTACATGCAGACTTGTGTTCTAGTTCTGTCTGTAATCTGAAACCTGGCATTTCGCCAAGACCACTTCTGTCCAAATGAGCTATTTGTTCTCTCACACACCAGGGGTTATGGGACCCCCCAGATGGTCTGGCCCTCCGCACGTCCTTGTTTGTACCACTCAACTGCAACTCCCCTCTCCCTTCCTCCTAGTCACTGTCATCCACCAACATTTTTCTCATGCTCAAATCCTGTGGCACCCTCTCATAGTCTTCCTTTTCTTCCCAAACAGGTCTTTCTATCATCCTGGATAACTTTAACGTCCACAAGGACACCTATTCAGTTCCCTACCTCCCAGTGTCTGCAATGAACATCACTTCCCCAACCTCAACCACATATTCCCAGTCACATTCCTGACCTTGTTACCATCTCAAAAATAACCATTCACACTTCCTCTTCCCTACCAACATGCTTGTTCAACTTCCTTCCCTATTACCATCCTTTGGCCTCATCTGGGCCTCCAGTTCATAGAAGTCTCTCCTTTCCTTTCTAATGTCTTTCTCTGATCTAGCCTGGATTCTTGGGTTCATCATTTCATTAACACCCCTGCCAGTGCCCTGAACTGCTCTGGTCCCCTCCATTTCATTTGCACCCTGCTGAAGTCCTTCATTCATAGATAAACCTTCCTATCTGCTTCCTCCACATCTGCCGTCAGGCACTCTGGAACAAATTCACCTGACAGGACAGATTATGAGTCATAAGTTAGTCATCTCTCCTCACTTGAACCTTGACCACCCAAAGGAAATTTCTAGCACATTTCTTTTATCTTCTCTACTACTGTTTCAAGCATTTCTCCTCAAACCTCTGACCCCCAGCATCACCTCCTTTCTCCTCGCCAGATTTACTTTACTGAGAAAGTTGAAGCCATTCAGCAGAGGCTTTCTTTGTGGTTTTGTTTTTTGTTTTTTTGAGTTGAAGTCTCACTTTGTCACCCAGACTGGAGTGTAGTGGCACGCTCATGGCCACCGCAGTCTCGACCTGCTGGGTTCAGAGATCCTTTCGCCTCAGTGCTCCAAGTAGCTGGAACCACAGGCATGTGCTACCACGCCTGGCCAATTTTTTTATTTATTGTAGAGACAAGGTCTCGCCAAGCTGCCCAGGCAGGTCTCGAACCCACGGGCTCAGGCAATCCACTCACCTTGGCCTCTCAAAGCACTAGGACTACAGACTGAGCCACCGAGCCCGGCCCAGCAGAGGCTTTCTTAAAACACCAGCTACCAAACATCAAAGGCTTCCTAACCTGCACACATCTTACCCTCCTTCCCACCTGTACATGAGAGGTGTTGTCTTTGCTAAAGTCACCATGACCTCTGGCCACCCAATCCACTGGGGAATCCTCAGCCCTCCTGATCTTTCAGCAGCACGTAATACTACCAAGTGCTCTCCCCCTGCCCTGCCTCTTCATTTAGCTTCTGTGACACACCCAGACATCTCTACATCTCTGGCCACTCCTGCAGCTTCATCCTCCTCTTCCTACCATCTGTAAGGATCAGCCCCAGTTGTTTCTCTTCTGTCTCAAACTGTGTCTTTCTCCAATCAAACAGCCAAGATTATCACCATCAAAAACTAAGCTCTGGGAGGCCAAGGTGGGTGGATTGCTTGAGCCCAGGAGTTTGAGAACAGTCTGAGCAACATAGTGAAACCTCGCCTCTACAAAAAAATCAAAAAGTTATCCGGGTATGGTGGCATATGCCTTTAGTCCCAGCTACTCGGAATGTTGTGGTGGAAGAATCGCCTGAGGCCAGGAGATCGAGTCTGCCGTGAGCCATGATTGTTGTGATCATGTCACTGGACTCCAGCCTGGGCGACAATGAGACCCTGACTCAAAAAAAAAAAAAGTTCATAGTCTTCCCCCACAAATGTGTTCTTTTTCTACTGTTTATGTCTCAATGAATGTACATTCAGATACAAATACTGAAACCTACCTCTCCCTCAATACCTGAATCTAACTAGTTGATTCCTAAATACATCACCAGTCTGCCCACTTCAGTCTGCCCACTTCTCATCTCCACTGATACCAGTGGAGTCCAATTTGGGCTCTTTAAATGTATTCCATCCTCTTCAGTCTTATTCGCTACTGCGGGAAGACTAATGTTTTTCTGGCTCAAGAGACATCATGTCACTACATTTAGCATAAAACTAAATTACTTAACAGTATACCTTATCCTGTTTGATACAGCTCCTGCTTACTTCTCAAGCCTTAGTTTTGCATCACTTTGGTTCTTACACCCTATGCTCTAGGCAAACTAGAATACCACTTTCTATTCCACCACAGGACCTTTGCACATGCTGGTCCTCTACCTGACTTGCTCTTCTTCTGGCTCATCTCCTCTCTTACTTAAAGGGAAGCTTTTCCTGACCCATATGATCTAATTTGTGTCTACTTATTCTTCAGATCTTCTCCCAAGAAGCCTTTCTGAACTTAGCCAGCATGTTCTGAGGTCACAAAGAACTGGGTTTCTTTCCTTTATGGATAGCAGCCATCTCAACTTGTAATCATACACTCATTTCTGTGAGATTGCCAATATCAATCTCCTCTAGATTGTAAGCTTAGTACTTAGAATGTAGTAAGTAACTAATAAATAGTTATTGAATGAACAAGCCATGATTCTGACCATCTGTAAAACTTGGATAAGAATGTTACTTTTCCATTCTTCTTTTTATTAAAAAAGTGTATTAAGATAGCAAAAATGATTTTTCTAAAAAGTCCTTCTCTGTATAGAGTTAACTAGATATTTTAAATATAATAAACTTTACCCTTATGTCACAAGGTAATCTAACATAAACTCCTAAATGCTCTGGGCCCTAGCACACAGATATGGTTATTTTATCATCAATATAAATATAGAAGCATAATAACAAACACACTCGTTAAAGTCCTAGTTGCCTCATTATGGTTTCAATCACTTCATATAATATAGCAGCTTGCAAAAAAGTTTAGTCTAGTCCAGTTCATGTTAATTATTTTAGATTATGTAAGTACGATTAAGCCAAGAAAAATGCTCATCGAAGTACTGTTAAGAGAAACTCAACTTGAAATAATTGTTGTGGAAGATATAAATATGTATCCCATTAGAGTTCATTTTTCTCTTTAGTACATTATTTCTATTCATTATAAAAATAACTGACAGAGTGATGGAAATTAAGGGAAACTTTCTGAAGAAGAAAAATACGGCGATGCGAGAATGTACCGCTGGTGAGCGCTTGTCCTGCTGTAGCTCTGCCTGTCTGTTCCTCCATGGAAAGTGATGATCTTCAGGCCCGTGTGCTTCTCTCTGCAGGTTTACAGAGAGCCAGTGCAAGAGCCCCCTCACCCTATCGGAGAGACTTTGAGGCCAAGCTTCGCAATTTCTACAGAAAACTGGAAGCCAAAGGATTCGGTCAAGGTCCAGGGAAAATTAAGTGAGTGCTCTGGTGTTTGGCACTTAATTCAGACAGTGTGTTTTTCTATCCCTTTCTCCCCTACACCGTATGTGTATGTATATATATATATATATATATATATATATATATATATATTTGGAGACTGGACACCCCGGTTTGGTTGGCAGTTATGGTCTGAAAAAAAGGAAGAAGGAAATTAGGAAGTTGGAAGGAAAGAAGAAAGGAATTTAGGAAGGGAAGGAGAAAGAGAAAGAATAGTAGATTTTAGATAAAGGCATATAGAAAATCAACAGTAGACCTTTTCAGAAGATAGGGAATTTTGAACTAAATAAAAAATCTTATCTTTTCCTTTACTTATTCTCAGGGGAAATTGTAACTCTCCAGTCAAGTTCATGGACTCTTTGTAACTTTGTAGTTAAAGCCCAAGTAAAATGTTTTTTTGGTTTTTTTTTCCCCCCCTTCTGAGTTTATTCTTTTCATTTTGAAAAGCTGAGCCCAAACTCAGGAATCCAACTTGAGACATCTAGAGTTGATCAAAAGTAACCTTAAAAGTAGCCCAATAGGATGGAACATATGATAAGTGTACGTGTACATGTTTTTCTTGTGTTCCCAGTGTTTCGAAAAGAGTGTTAAGATAATCCCTCACTGAACCTAGGGAACCTGCATCTTGCTCTTTCCTCTCTCACGGGAGAGGCTGGGAAATGAGGCTCTAAAGCCAGGCACTCACAACTCACATAGAACCTGGTCCAGCATCCTGAATCCAGTGTCACTGCTTACCACAGCTTCTCCTTCTCAGGCTCATTATTCGTCGGGATCACTTGTTGGAAGGAACCTTCAATCAGGTGATGGCCTATTCCCGGAAGGAGCTCCAGCGAAACAAGCTCTACGTCACCTTCGTTGGAGAGGAAGGGTGAGGCACCAGGAGTTTCATGCAGATACTTCGGTGTGGGTGGACCAGGGCCCCAGGATCAGGGGTGATTTTTCTCAAAAAGGAGCAGGGTGGCTGTAAGCCTTTGCCCCAAGGTGATTCTGATCATGTCCTCCCAGGAGGTCTTTCTCTCTCCAGGTGTTGCAAAGCTTTATATTTCACATTCTTCAAAAACCTAAGATTATTGGCATGCACTAGAGTCAGAGCACATGGTCAAAGTATAAGTCAAAAATACAGTCCTGGGGTACTGAATCTTTACTTTTTAGATGGTGGACCCTTCTGAGTAGCTCATCAAAAACTTCTCCTAAAGGGTTCACATACAACTACATTCCAAATCCTTCATATAACTTCAGTGAAACCATATTAACCGTGGAGGGCAATCCTTCCTAGGAGGGCATTTCAGAGTGAACTTGGAAGCCTTTTCAATAATTCGCACACACACACATAGTTACAGCAAATTATTTTATGCCTCCCACAACAAAGGCTTTGTTTTTAAATGGGCCAGCTGTGTGTTTTATCTCATAGGTGTTAGAGGATCAAAAGAAAAAGTTAAGGAAAACTGCCAGAAGAGTTCATTCATGGACATCTGGTTAAGATACATCTCCAAAATGATTACTGCATCCTCGTTTTCTACAGCAAATTGATACTTCCATTGGGATCCACTCCAAAGAGCAGAGGTTCTTTGCCCAGTACCTGACTTTGAAAGGGCACACTAGAATCTAGGTGAGAAACAGGTCTCCTCACCTTCAGACGTGAATGAGTTTCCTGGACCTCTGCTTCCTTTGCAGCCTGGATTACAGTGGACCTTCGCGGGAATTCTTCTTCCTTTTGTCTCAGGAGCTCTTCAACCCTTACTACGGACTCTTTGAGTACTCAGCAAATGATACTTACACAGTGCAGATCAGCCCCATGTCTGCGTTTGTAGAAAACCATCTTGAATGGTAAGATCTGTAATTTGAATTTTCTTATGTTTGAAAGCTCTGCTCTTTCTTCGTCAGAAGTCTGCAGCATTTCTCGAAGGCCGCCATATTTAGAACAGTGACTCTAAATTAAGAGTGATGAGGGTGAATAACAGAGCACTAGAAGGAAGAACACAAAATAAATTACACCGGTAATATATCAACTGCAAATTGATGTAAGACAGAATCATTGCCTGAAGAAAAAACATTAAGATAAGTAGATACAGGTCATGAATGTGAATAATTTTACTAAAATCATAAAGGTCCCCAGGAGAGGCTTCTCGGAGGTATTTTTGGGTTTGAAATTCTTGGCTCTTAGACCAATGGCTTTTGTACTGTGGACACTGGCTTCTGCATCTTATTGGCAAATAAGGCTGTTGGGTCAGATGATCTCCAAGCATTCTTCTGACCTGAAAATCCACTGTCTCTTTGGCTGTCTGCTGTTGAGGCTTTCTATTACCACTTTACCGATATGCCTAAGAAGATAGGTATCAATCAATTGTGTGCAGTTCTGTGGGCAAGATTCCACAGATGTATTAGAAGTCTCCAGGAAGTTGCATGGGACATCTAGGATGCTTGCACTTTCTGTGATGCTCTGCATCAGCACCATGCCTGATTTGAAAATGGCTCAGGTCCAACTGCAGGAGCTCCTGCCATCAAGAGGGAAATGAGTTCTGAAGATGGCTGGAGTGGGTTCTTTTCTGACATGGCTTATTTATGCTGTTGTTGAAGGAAGCTGCTGGGGTGACATTTGTGCCTCTGGGCTACAGTCCACAGTCCCTATAGTTTGGCTATATAGCATCGGTAACTCCCCTACTCCCAACCCCTGGCTCCAGCGAAAGACTATTGCACAGAGACTCTCTCTCCAAACACACTCTCAGCCCTGAAGTGCTTGGCCTGAGGCAGAGTGTGTGCACATCAAGCATTTGGCACAAGATGAAGCAAAACTTGCCCTTTCTTGCTCCTTTTCCTATAACTTATCCATAAGTGGACAGCGAAGTATGTGAGGCAGAAACACGCAGACAGACAGGGGCAGGTAGGGAGCAGGCAAGTCACCACGGAAGGGACTTGTGGCACCGAGAATTGAATGGTCACTCTCACTGAGCTCACAGTCAGGCAGGTTCCATTCTAATGGTAGAGAGTGCTGTGAGAATTTTATGTGCACACAGATTATACCTGACAAAATCCCTCAATTCTCTCTTAGTTTGTGAGCATGAAGTTTAAGATGCTGTCTTGGAGGTCATGAATTAGAATCAGCCATCAATTAAAAAAATATTTTTATCACGTGTCATACCACATAGGACTGTGCTCGGTATTGTGGGGGATACCTTCACCAACTTAACAGTTATAAATTAAGTGCTTAGTATGTGCTGGGTGAATACAAAGATGAAGTGAGCAAGGTCTCATCCCTCAAGGAAGAGTAGTGGGAAGAGCACATGAGTAGACCAACAATTACAACACAATGGCTTAAATGCTAAGTTATACACACATATATGTGTGTGTGTGTGTTAGCCAGAGACACACATATAAAGCTGAAAATTTTACTCAATCAAAAGGGAAGAAAAATATCTGCCCAAACTAGGAGATCCATGGGGAATGGGGAGTGAAGCCCACGATTCTTGTAAAAAGAGGGAGTGGTGGCAGAGGAGAGGGAGACTGAGCACCATGGTGGGATGGGAGGTACTTGACCTTCTAAAGGAAACCTTGGAGTCCAGCATGTTTCAGTGCAGCCACAGAACAAGGCCACGGGCCACGGCCTGGTGGAAAGCAGAGAAGTCATCTGCCTTAGGCCCACATGTTGGCTGAACCACCTATTGAAAGTGGCTGCAATCACTGCCCATGTAAAGGCACCTCGCCAGCTGCCCAGCCCCCACATTCACCTGGCTATCGCCTTCTGCGATTCTCTGCATGGGGGGTGCAAAAGAGGCTCTGTAGATATGGCAGTTATACTTTAGTGTATTGAGGAAGGAAATTGTGTGGTACAGGAGGGTTGTAAGAGTTAGTAAAGTTTTCTGGATGGATCCATGATGAGGCCTTGGAAATACCTGCCCTCGAGGTGCCAGTTAGCTGCTGTGTTCTTTGCTGGAGGTCTTGGTCCTGAATGCACGCATGCTGACTTTCATCCACTGATGTTCCCACTCATGTTGAGAATATTTGCCGTGTGTCTAGAAATGAAATTGCAGATGGCTGTCCGAGTCACCTGGCAATGTAAACCGAGCTTGTAGAGATGAGATTTCTTCCACCACTACATGTTGGATGGCAAGTTATGAAGTGGGCAGAGGACCTCTCCTCTGATTTAAGGCTTCAACTCTGAATGCTCAGTCCCCAGAGTCCTCAGCCTGAAGTGCAGAACAAGCCCCTGCACCTTCATGAGAACAGGCATCAGATTGTATCATGAGCCCCCCATGTGGAGTATGTTGTTTTCTCTTCAGTGCCTCAGAATTCCTGATGGAGGGGAACTGGTTTTCTTTGCAGTCAGAGCCACGGCTGAGTGAACTGAAGCCACCTGGGCAGTCTTTAGCTTTGAACAGGAAGCCCTATTGGGCTTTGCCAAGTCTTTTCTACTTGTGCCTTGTGGCGGATGATTTCACAAACAAAACAAATAGGTTTTGCCTTCCCTGTGCCCCTGAGTCAAGCTCCTTAGAGAGCATTTTAGCAAATGGTGCCTAGGGACACAGACCTGGATGAAGTGGCCCTGGGTTTTTACACAAAATGTCAACAGTAAGTGGGTGCTGCAGCACTTGTCTAAAGACCTGTCACTGTCACTCCTTGCTGCCTGCAGGTCCCTGACACTGAGGAAACCAGAATACTGAGTTCTCAGGACTGACAGCTGCTAGGTGCCTCTTAGCTGCCCTCAGGGTGGGCGTGGCTGACAGAGCTCAGATCTGTGCCAGGCCCTCCTGCCTTTCTCGCTCCTCGGGAGCTCGTCTCAAGACTCAAAGGGATAATCAGTTCACTGTACAGGGGAGTTCCGTAATCTCAGCATTTAGAATTATTTGTTTGTGGTCATTGTTGAGGGATTCAATGTTTGTAAAATGTACAATATAAAAACTCATGAAGCTTCACTATCAGTGAAATGTCTCACTTTAGCTATCACAATGTAAAAAGGCTCACAGCCCCATTGAAGCCAGGATTCCAAATTCCTAAGCTATTGTTCTTTCTATGACATACACATGCTTGACCTAAAAGCAACCACTTTACCCAAATTCAGACCCACTTTTGAAAGAATCAAAGTTTTCCAAAGTACAGAAAAAGAAAAAGACTCAAAGGGGCTGTGAGGAAGATGACAGTCATCATAGCCTGTACAAGGCAGATTCAAAGAATTAAATGTCACCCAAGATTAACACAGTATTCGGCTGTAGCTGGAGGAAACATCTTTGCACTGGTCATTTTTATATAAAATGGTTTTTTGTTATTCTGGTTCTTTATCCTTCACTGACCTTCTTCTGTGTCCCATACTCTTGTGCGTTTTGTCTGACTCCCCTCTAGATAATAAGCGCTGTAGGAACAGAGACAGTTTTGTCTTATTTTACCCTGTGACATTGCCTGGCACTTCACAATGCTCAAAACATCTCCCTGACTATTGAGTGCATACCTGAGTCTCTTCCTTGTACCAGGGCTGCTGATAGAGTGCTCCTTCCTCTCATGTGCAATTAATTGCTCCAAGTTCACATTTTTCTTTGTCATCTGTGGTTCTAAAGCCCTTGCAGCATCAGCAATAAATGCAAGCGTTCCTGAGGTGTTTTGCACTCTTGGAATCCACTCCGCATGATGCCCGAATGCTTCTTGTTACTGAGGGAAGCCTCCTCCTTCTTCTCACACTGCACATGCTTTATGGCAACCGCTTCTAGGCTTGGCACTGCCCAGAGACATCAGTGGAAGTGTTCTGACACGGGGTCATTCCCCTGAAAGCTTCCCTTTGACAGTAGGTACTTGAGATTCTGGGGCTTCATGCTCGCTGTGTGTGGGCTTTGTAGCCGTTGGAGTCGAGCCAGCTAAATCAAAGCCTAAACACGGCATAATGATTCCACCTACTTCCTTTTTTTTGTAGTCAAGTGTTGAGAGATACCAATACAAATAAATACAGTGAAAATTCTGTGTTACACACTTTAAGTAAACTTTTAAAAAAATCATTTTTTTCTTTTTCTTTTTTTTTTTTTTTTTGCTTTTAGACTAAAAAGACTTCCTGCCATTGCTGTTTCATTACTTATTGTACCCCTGACATTCCAAACTGATAAGGACTCTGTCAAAGTCAACAATGGTAACAATCGGGTCCAGTAAGAAAGAAAGAGTCAGAAGAGCTCTCAAAAGCTGGAGCCTATAAGATACTGGCGCTGTAGTCACTGCTGGCATAGTCCCTGCCCGACCTGGCCAAGGTCTAGCGAGACTGGGAAATAACACCCTCAACATTCTTCTTCCACCCTCCAGTGCTGTTAGCCAATTCCAACCATAAATCAGAGGGCAAAGTCTCTCCAGATGTTGCAACCCGTAATAGCCAGTCCTCAGGTCGCAGAACAGGGCAGGAGAAGGTGGGAAACCCACGGGGGCAAAGGAGAGGGGAATTGAAAATGAACACAAGATCTCATACTCTTTAGGACACTCAACTTGTTCACTAGAACTCTTACCACTTTCTAAGCTGCATGTGTCTATTGTATGTGTCTTTGATGACAGAAATTTTGAAATACTACTCCAAATTTCATATTTTTATTCTTTGATTATGATTATTTGCATATTGATGAGGTGTTCATATGCTACTCTTTTATATTTTATTGTATGTGATTTTATATCTTTAAGGATACAGAAGTTAATAATTAAGCTAAATAATAAAGCGTTCACAGATAACTTACTAAATATACAAGGCACTGTTCTAGACTTTTTTATTTACCAAAATTATAACTCAAACACTGTGTTATTCTACTTTTACAGATGAGGAAAATGAGGTATAGACATAACCAAAGTCATAGAGACAGTCATGGACCAGG